AGATTTCATCAACGTCCGAAATTGCATTCTTGAGGCTCAAGTTTGATCCAAGGGCTCTCATTCACTGACGTTTACTATAAATAGGGGTTGGGAGTGAGGGGTTAAAGGTATAAAAATTTTTGTAACTCCTTTTGGAGATGAGGGCTACTCTTAATTGAGAATGCCTTCTAAATTTATAACTTTTTGTTACAATTAATAAAATAATTTTTTTCACCACTTTAAATTTTTCTCTTCTTCTCTTTGTTGGATGATGAAGATGAAGATGGAGATTAATTTGAAGGTTTATTTTTCTTATTTCTCCTTTATTGCTTATTAATTTAGATTTATTTTCATGCTTGTAATTAGATTTTATTTTCTTGTTTAAATAGCCAAGAGGCTAGAACCCTCTTGCATTAGATTTATTTCATGCTTATAGATTAGATTTATTTCATGCTTATAGATTAGATTTATTTTTTTGTATTTAATTCTTGTAATTTATTTTATAGTTTAGATTTTGCAATTTATTTTGTAGTTAGATTTTAATTTTTTACACTATTCACCTTGAGGCTAGAACTCTCTTGAGTTTAGTTTTTCTTTTTGTTTATTTTTATTTTCTTTGATTCGCCTTTAGGTTAGAACCCTCTAGGGAATCATCTTTTTCTAAGAAGTTGATTCAATTCTAGATTACCCATATCTTTAATTAAATCCGCTATCTTTACATTCTTGATTTTTATTTGTTCTTGATTTTTCCTTCTTGCCTTGTTGATCACATTTATATTATCACTTCCACTCTCAAATATATTCATTTACACAATCATTTTCATCTCTTCACAATCACATTCATTTATCACTCCTATTTGTCACGCACACAACATAAGAACCGATTTTATATTTTCTCCTACAAAACACCTTCCTCGTGGATCGATATCTTTATACTATAACTTAACACGATTGTGCACTTGCAATATTTTTGGTACATGTTTATGCCGCATAAGAAAGGTCATACTATTTATGTTGAAAGAACAACATGGGAAAACTTCATTGGCGGGAAAACAAGATCCTCCAATTCAAATTCTTCAGCTACATCGTTCCTACCCAAGTCAAATCAAACACCAGTAGTTAAATCTTCTTCCTCAGTTCCTCCTGGTTTCTCTCGTAAAGCACCATATCTTCATCATCTTGTTCTTTGAAGAAATCTATTCTCAGCAACAAGCATATGAGTTTTCTAAAATATGCTTCTTCTTCTAAAAAGGTTATAAAAAAAGGTACGCTACATCAGAAATCTTCTTCTCCAGATGAAGTTTTTCCTTTTCATTCTTTGGATAAAGATGTCTTAAATGATATAGCTGACAATTACGGGGTTACTTTATCTGATGAATCTTTGAAGTTGTTTAAAGACAAAGAGGATGAGTGTAGCAGTCACAATAACTAACCTGTTATGGCTAGATAGTGTTTAGTTATGGTATATTGTTGTTGAATCATGATATATACAACCTGGAATGTTCGTGGTCTAAATGACCCAATTAAGAGAAAACTTGTTAGAGATTTCATCTATTGGCATGCTATTGACATTGTTGGTCTGCAGGAAAGTAAATTATCTAAACCATCTTCTAGAATTCTGCGATCCATGGGTGGTCACAAAATTCCTCATTGGTGTCATCTAGATTCTTCTGATTCCAGAGGTGGTGTTCTCGTGGGTTGGTCTGATAAATTTTCGCTTATTCAATCATATGTGGGCATTTTTTCAGTTTCAGTTCATCTTCATCATAAACCATCAAATTGGAATTTTATTTTTACCTCTGTATATGCCCCTATTGATAGAGATGATAAAGAAGTTTGTTGGTGGGAACTGAAACGCATTAGTAGCATTTTACATGGTCCTTGGGTCCTTTGTGGTGACTTTAATGCCACTCTACTGTCTTCAGAAAGAAATGGAAGAAATGGGTCCTTAAGAGACATCAATGATTTCAGAAATTTTGTTTCATCATCATCAATCATTGATCTTCCTTTATCAGGTAGATCCTTCACATGGTCTAACAATAGATTAGCACCATCTATGGCCAGATTGGACAGGTTTTTTGTCTGTGCAGATTGGGAAAAGAAGTTGCCATCTTGCTTACAATTTTCACCTCCATCTATAGGCTCTGATCATTTTCCTATCATTCTTAATAGTGGGGGTATTAAATTATCCCCACCCATGTTGAGATTTGAAAGGAGTTGGCTTCATAACAAAGACTTTGTTCCCTTTATTATCTCAGCTTGGAAATCTTTTGTTTGTTCTGGTTCTCCTGTGGATATCTTCATCTCTAAATTAAATCTTCTCAAAAGAAGAATCAAATATTGGAGGGAAAATGTGCTAGGATCTATTTCAACAAGGAAAGCAAATCTTCTTTCTAAAATTGAACATTATAATTTGCTTGAAGAACATAGAAATCTGTCCATTTCAGAATTCAATGAAAGAAAATCTCTTCAATCTACTTTTTCATCTCTCATCAAAGAGGAAGAGACTTACTGGCACCAAAGGTCTAGAATTCAATGGTTATCTGAGGGAGATGCTAACACCTCCTTCTTTCACAAAACAGCTTCCATCCATAAAAAAGTCAATTACATTGTTTCTATCAATCATCAAGGAGTGGATATTTCTGACTCTATTGGTATCAGCAGAGCTTTCTTTGATTATTACAAATCTCTTTTTGGGCAAACAAGCAACAATCACCTTTCAGTCAACTGGACAATCTTATATCCTGAAGACAACTCTGATTTATCTCACTTAGAAGCTCCTTTCTCTGAAGTTGAAATCAAGAATGCGGCCTTTAGCATGAATCATAATAAGGCTCCTGGGCCAGATGGTTATTCCATGTCTTTCTATCAGACTTTCTGGAACCTTATTAAAGATGATCTTGTCCTTCTTATGAATCATTTTTATCATGACCCCTCCTCTCTTCATAGAGTGAGCAAAATCTATATAACTCTCATCCCTAAGTTGAAGACGAGCACTATGGTTATAGACTTCATACCAATACGCCTGATAAACTGCCTTTTTAAAATCTTCTCCAAGATGCTTGCTACTACTCCTCTCATGTCTGACTTGGTTTCTCCTACACAATCAGCTTTTTAAAGGGGTAAATCTACCATGGATTCCATTTTGATGGCTAATGAAATGATTCATGAATATTCCAAGAAAAATAAAGAGGTGGTTATGTTTAAAATTGATTTTGCCAAGGCATTTGACTCTATCAGTTGGTCTTATCCCATTGATTTATTACATGCCAGAGGCTTTGGTATCAAATGGTGCTCATGGGTCAAGTATATCATCTCTTCATCCAGTTGTGCAGTTCTAGTGAATGGTTCACCCACTAATTTTTTCAAGTGCAATCGTGGTCTCAAACAAGGAGACCCTTTATCTCCTCTCCTGTTTAATCTATTTGTTGATGTTCTTAATAAGATGATCCATAATAATGTTGGTAGTGGTCTCTTATCTAGCCTTGGTTTGAGAGAACCTTTAAATAACATCAGAAGTTTACAATTTACAGATGATACTTTGCTATTTGTTAAAAGTTCTATTAGAGATATATCCTCTATTAAGGAAATTCTATACATTTTTGAGGTTCTATCAGGATTAAGTATCAATTACTCAAAATCTTCTCTTATTTATTTTGGAAAAATAAATAATAGAGATCAATTTCTAGCTTCTATCCTTAATTACAATATTGGACATCTTCTAATTAAGTATCTTGGTCTGCCTTTGAAACATGGCAAATTGATTAAATCTAACTGGCAACCTATTTTGGACAAGCTGCATAAGAAACTATCATCTTGGAAAAAAATTCACTCTCTATTGGTGGAAGACTTGTTCTTTTAAATCCAGTTCTTACATCACTACCCCTCTACTACATGTCCTTTTATAAATTACCTCGTTGGTTGTCAAAAGGCATTGAAAGAATCAGAAGAAACTTTTTATGGTCAGGAAAGGATGATACAAATACTATCAAATGCCTAGTTAACTGGAATAAAGTTTGTCTCAGCAAAACTGAAGGGGGTTTGGGAGTAAAGGATATTTCAACTTTTAATAACTCTCTTCTTTCTAAATGGCTGTGGAAATGCTTGGATATTAATTCATCATCTGGTTCTTTTCCGAGGGATCTATATGTTAAGAGAGGTTCATATCTACAACAAGCTCAACCTACTCAATCATGTTCCTCTTTTTGGAAATTTGTCCTCTCCTTTAAGAATGCATTCTTTCACAACATCTCTTGGTCACTTGGTTCTGCCTCTCATATCAGATTCTAGGAAGATAAATGGATTGGTTACAATACTTTATCTAGTTTTTTTCCAACCATTTCCCAACTAAGATACTCCTCAAATGTATCTGTACGTAGTCAAGGCAACCTACACAATAATTTATGGCATTGGAGACCTTTATTGAGGAGATGTTTATCTCAGGAATCTCAAACAGCCAAGTCTGATCTTCTGAACTTATTATGTGGGATAAGTGTCAATAATCAGCATGATACACCCAGATGGTATCTTTCATCTAATGGTGTTTTCTCTGTCAACTCTTTCTACAACTTCCTAATCTCTAGAGGCATCAAATTTGCATTTTACAAAACCACCTCGAATGTAATTCTTCCTAGCAAAGTGAGAATCTTCACTTGGTTATTATCTTTTAATAGACTAAACACCAAAGATAACCTCCTGATCAAGGGATGGCAGGGAGATACAAATTGGTCTCTCTGTGGCACAAGTATTGAATCTAGAGATCATCTTTTTCTCTTATGCCCTATATCTCAACAAGTCTGGAATCATTTTAAGTCTTATTTTCTTTACTTTACTTGGCCGACAACCTTTGAAGATCTCATTTACAGAGTGAAATCTCTTAAAAGTGTTAAGGGTCATTTATGGCGAACCATCTTTTCTGCAGTTTGTTGGAGTATATGGAACACAAGAAACAGACTTATTTTTTAGCAGGTTAATTACTCTGATATCTCTATTATTAATCTTGTTATATCTGGTATCTATGATTAGATAGGAGTGAATAAAAGTTCTGCTACAAGGATATCAGCTGAACTTGAGTTCAATCCTATATCAAGGGTCAGAGATCATACAAGCCAGTGACAATTCATTCAGAAGCTAACAACAGTTGTTTTGTTAGACTGTATATATTTTCTTTTTTGGATTTGTTTTGTTTGTTGGTTAATAGAAAATTTCAGTTGTTTTGTTAGACTGTATATATTTTCTTTTTTGGATTTGTTTTGTTTGTTGGTTAATAGAAAATTTAGTTTCTGATAATTATATGTTTTCTTTTTTGGATTTGTTTTGTTTGTTGGTTAATAGAAAATTTAGTTTCTGATAATTATATGTATAGATGGCTTTGGTTCCTCCTCATATCTGTGTCAACGATGAATGATGACAAGGCCCTCTCTTCATCTTCATGGATCTCTGGAGGAAAAAAGTTATACATCCCTAATTATTAGACACTCTTTTTTCTAATTTCCAACATGGATACAGTTCGTATCCGACAACTTTTTGTACTTAATACTTTTGACTATGAATGAACGGGGGATACCCCTTGTTTTTCTTTCATAAAAACAAAAACTTAATTAAAGTATGAAAATTAATCTTGATCAAATTTGGTCCCTTATTCAACATGGCAATAATCTCAACAAGTAACAACTAGTAAGCTAAGGATTTTTTTTTGAAAACATTAAATATTGAAGTTTGTGACAACCCCAAGCAAAATCATCACAACAGTAATTCTTTGCCAATTGGTTAAAGAGGCCACCTTTATATCATAAATGTTAGATCACATGTTGCGCTAGTTATCAGGAAGAGTATTTTACGTCTAGCTGACAATATATCCATTCACATGATCAATAAAAGCAGATTTTTATCGATTGCCTCTCATGAAATGCAGGATCATATCCATAGACAATAATAAAATATAGTAAAATGGTTAAATATCAAAGAGTAATTTTATGTGATGTAAGCAATCATATAAGCATACAAAACTACTAATAACTTTGCATGAAAATACCTTATAAAAATTCCTAATTGTAATAAAAAATTAAGTTGTTATATAAAATGATTTAAAAATATTGTTTTTGAAAATTTCTAATTGAACCAAGATCAATCTTTCTCCACCTTTATCTTTTTTCTGGGCAACTCTAGAGTAGCATCTTCATCATCTACGTCGATTGTAATATCAGGCTGGAGTTGAATTTCTTGTGCTATTATATTACCTTCGCCTCGTTCATCTTTTGTCTTTTCATCTAACTTCACCAGAAATTTGAATGTTTTTTCGATGTTCAAAACAAATTTTTGAAAATATGGACTATGATTATTTTTCTGTTGCAATGAGAACAAATGTTATATTAATACTTATGAATTTGTTTATTTTCTTATTTACTACTTGAATAGTGTTAGGAATTACGTATTTCTTTTCTGTAATGAATTTTTCTGCTTTGCATCTAATAAGAGTTTCTGCTGCGTCAAAGAGTGTTACTCTTGTATTATCCGTGCCATTTTCCATGAGAATCTTAACTAAGTACCTGTAGTTTTCATTGTTAATTTCTAAAGACAGTTAGTATTGTATTTTAATATGTTCATGTTATAAAAAATATATATATTACTTAACATTGGTAATGGGTCATTAATGATTCTGTGATATTTGTCATTCAGACACTCTTTACTAACATCTGTATCAACCTTCTTATCACAGCCTTTGCAAGCATAGAACCATGGCTCGAGCCTATTTAAAATAGTAGTTATCTTTGCCTTAAATGTGCAATATTGTGCCTGTATATTAACAAAGTTTAGTTAGATTTAAATTTGTAGATAAGAATATGTATATAATATTGTACCTGTATCGAATTCTGTGACGTATGCATAATATCACTAATATGAATTTCCTTAGCATTTTTAAAAAGCATCGATGGAGATCCTTTTGCTTTTGCAGCTTCTTCCAATTGGAACCTGCATATTAGATTAAAATATAATACTATTTCATTATTGGGTTATATAAAAGCATGTTTGTTCTGCTTACCATTCCCTTAATTCGCTAGCTAGTTCTATTTTTGGGTTGATACATAATGTTGAAATAATTTGCGACGATATGCTTGTTCCTGCAAAAATAAGAAAATTATAAGATTAATTTTATGTTTAGCTATCTTTAATAAGAATTTCAGCAATAATTTATGTACCTTGATATATAGAGATTTTAAAATCTGATAATGCTATTATAGGCTTATATTTGATTTCTTCTTCAAGAATTGATCCTTCATTTGTAGCCAAATCTCCAAATAAAGTTGCACACATTAGCATTCCACTGCATATGAAAAGATAAAGAACGATAATCTTTTTTTTTTATGATATTGGAAATAAGTAACATGAATATACCTTATATTCATAAGCGTGATTTCTCTCCTAGTGTCTGGTTTGTTGTGTCTTGTAATATAGTTGATCGACGGTTTCACATTAGTTGTTATTGCAAAAATATCTGCAAGTGATTTGATAAAAAGATTATGATTCTTTAGATTAATATCTCATTTTGTATTGAAGATTAAAGTAAGAAATTTATAAGTACTTACTAATTTTTGTTGCATCTTTCATGGAAATTGCTTCTTCAAATGGGACAAAGTTGTTAAATATGTTCTCCAAGTGGAATCATGTTGGTGCTTCTTTGATCGATACGTCTTTTGTTAATACTAATTCAAGTGACTTGTGGATACTTGGAAAAACTGGGTTTATTCCTTTCACTTTTCCATTTGAAATGAAAATAATTTGATTTTTTGAAGCATATCTATAAACTTTTCGATAGTCTCTCTGTACATTACTCCTTGTATTTTATTACACAGCAAATATTATTAAGATAAGAGATCAATGCATGGAAAATATAATTAAGTAATAGTAAGCTATATATTATATTTTAATTAGTTATATGTAAATAGAAAAACAACATAAAAAGTCACTCTGAAAGTTGTTGGGGTTTTAATGAAATTACCGAATATATAAATAGGTTTAGCAATATTCATATGATCAAACGTGGCATTGTGCAAGAAATATAATACAAAGAATAAATTTATTTTACCCGAGCATCAGCGAGAATTAGCTTCGGTAATTTCCCTAATCCTTTTGCATTTTTGTAAGTGGCCTCTGCACTTCGAAGTATGATAACATGAATGGTCCATTTTTTCTGAAACTTCTTGAGCTGACTTATTTAGATGTGCTGAGTTTTCCCTTCAGTACTGGTAGTCATATTTTCTGTTAATTTGATAAAAATATACATGTTAGTTTTGATCAATATTTTAGAATATACCATAGCTTAGAAAATTAATTTACTAATTATTGTTCCTCATAAGGTTTTGAATATTAATAACTCATAATATAGTCTGAGTGGGGGGTAAAAATTAAGTGAATGCTAAAGGAAAAAAGTTATACAACATTGAAAATTATAAATTATAGGAATCAAAAAGAATGAACACATGTAATTATTCTGAGAAATTAATTACCTTTAGAATAGATATTATGACTTTGAAGTTTAGTACATGTCTATTGGTTGGAGGACTTCCTTGTATACCAGATTTTTTGTGTATCTTTCATCTTCTTTAAATTTTCCGTCCGATATTATAAGTACTCTGGTTGTTGTCATTAAAGTCCCTCGTGATAAAGCAACATATAGCTGTCCATGAGAGAAAACGTGTTGAGGTAGATAGATGCCCTACATGAGGAATTGTTTATCCTTGTGATTTATTGATTGTCATTGCAAAACATAGCTGTATCGAAAATTGCTTTCGTTTGAACTTGAATGAGAACCCCTCATCTTCTGCTTGAGATAACGATATTCTTGGTAAGAAAACTTCTTTCCCAGCATGTTATCCCATTGTGATCTTAGCATGAATTATATTACTATTAAAATCTTGACATACCATTCGTGTTATGTTGCATAGCCCATTATTCGGATCCAGATGCCTTAATAAAATAATAGGACAATGTTTCTTTAATACCAGCTTGTGGGGTGGTAGTCCATTTGGTAGCAACGCTTAGGAATTCTTGCTGGTAGTGATGATTTCTGTCATCAACTGCTTCATCAAAGCTGTAGAATTTTTTTCCTTCACCTGGAAGTTGTTTTATGATTCTATCATTTAGCATGTCTACATATTCATTTTTTGTTGACAGGATTGCTCGATCTTTCATATAGTCAATGGATTGGAAGTTCTCATATAAAGATAGAAAATTTGATTTTACGAGGCAATCTTCTGGTAAATTATCACTTTGATTTTTGATCAAAATTGATTTTATGAGGTCATCAGCCACCATCGTTCATCTCCATTCACAACCCTAAGAAGGAAGTCACTAAATGTTGAATATGTCCTTGCTCTCATATTCTTTGATAGCTTCAACTTTTCTATTTTGCTCCACAAATATGAGCTTACTAAACTTTCTCTAACAATTTGTGATCTTGTTATGCGGGGTACTACTAGTAAAACTTATCTGAAATCCCCACCGAAAACAATTAATTTGCTGTCAAATGGTGCATCTTGATCTATTATATCCCTTAATGTTCTATCTAATGTTTTAATTGCAACGCGTTTAGCCATTAGAGCTTCATCCCAAATTATTAATCTAGGTATCTTAATTAGTTTTGAGGTTCCATCTTGCTTGGATATGCTACACATAGATGATTCTGTTGTTGGTATTTTTATCTTAAATCTGAAATATGTTGTTCGGCCTCCAGGCATTATTACAGCTGCTACGTCTGATGTCGTTGTAGCAAGAGCTATCATCTCTTCTGATCTTACTTTGACAAGTAGAGCACGGTATAAGAATGTCTTCCCAGTACCTCCTGGCCCATCAATAAAGAAAATCCCACTTTTATTTGCCTGAACGCGTGATAGTACGGAAGTATATGCATTATATTGTTCAAAATTGAGTGTTAATTCAGCATTAAGGTCTTCAAGTAGAATTTGTCATTGAGTTCATCTTGAATTTCTCTAGGGCATGAAATTCCTTCTGAATTAGGGTTATGTTGAATAGGCGGTAAATCAAATTTATTGATATAATTTCCCATGCTGTCTAAGAAGAATTTAATGTTGCAGAGGGTGTCATTTATCATCGAAACTCTTGCAGCACCAGGTTTCCCTGAGAAGTTTTCAGATAATGAGTTAAGGTATCGATCCCATAATTTATTAACATCTGCGGGCTCACAGTAAACAAGTATGGTTGCAAACAAACGGTGAATGGTTGCTGACATTTGAAAGATGACAGCTTCGTCTAAGCATTCTCTGATGCTATTATCTAATTCCAATAAACCTAATTTCTGGGCTGATTGTTTGAATGATGTGCATTGAATTCCATCCACAGTCAATAGATTCTCAAATAAGGTGGGGCATCTGATGTGAGTAAGTAAAAGTCGTAAGTAATATCTTTCCCCTTCAATTGGATTAGCACCATTTATATGGCCTATCATCTGTCTTTGTTTTCTTGGACTCTAACATTTTATCATTGAATCCCAAACATAATATTCGGGAAGTTCGCAATATAATAACTCTTTTTCTTGGTCTTTTTTTGGTTTTGATTTGTTTGATTCTTTAATTTTTGAACATATGGTAAAAAATTCTGTAAGCATTATCTTGGAGACATGGTCCCAGCGGATAAGCTTCGATAGGTCTTGATTTTTCCAATAGGAAACAAAATGTTGATTCAGCAAGTGTAGTTGTAAGTTGATAACAGCTAGGTAGATCTCATTAAGATAGAATTCATATATTCTCCATAAAGCTTCTTGAGCCGATACCCATCTTACATCTTAAATTTTTTTATTTCATTCACAAGTCTTCCTCCTTCATTATATTCAATGTTTACTGCCACTTTATCATGACTCTTATATATGTATTTGTAAAGGTACTTCACTGCTTTAATTCCTGAGCATATTTCAACATTAATATGATAATTGTAACGCGTTAACAAATATGGATTGTAAGGTACAACCCACTGATTATTAAGGACTTTATTGCGGACCAACATTGTCTTGTTATCTTTTCTCCTCTTATAAATTGGGTAAGCATCTTTTGCTTGCAATGATTATGAGCTAAATTCTCGAGAATAGTGATATTTGCACTCTCCATTTTGCATGCAACTGTTCTTCATGTTCAACTCCCCACAAGGTTCGTGCATCATATGTTTTTTTACCAATTCATAAAGGATCAGGTGTTTGGATTGGTCTGGAATTTCGGCAGATACATACTTATCATACTGATCCGATGATATGATCTTGTGATCTCCACTTAGAATTATTAAGATATGTGCATGTGGTAGCCCTCTTTTTTGAAACTCAATAACGTGAATATGTGCGACAACTTTCCCAAAGATCTCCTTCTTAAAGAGTTGGTCTTTCAAGTCTTGGAGCTTTGCTCAAAATATCCTTGAGGTTAGATCCGGCCTGTCATTATGGGTCTGACCTGGATGTAGTTGCTCAGTGATCTCTTCCCATTCTGGATTACATGTCATTATTATAAAAAGATCTGGCTTTTCAAATCATTGTACCAATGACATTGCATCAAGATATCTATGACGCATGTCTCTAGGACCACCTATGAATGACGATGGGAGCACTATTCTCTTGCCCACTTGGCATGTATTTGCTTCCCCGGCTGCTACACTGTCAACAATGCCTTGGAATAACTCTGCTCTGGTTTCTGATTGTTTATTTCTAAAGTAAACAAGTCTTGTTGTTTCAAGCTTTATGTACATATCAACAACATATTAATGGAATAAACGACCCACTGATTTAAGTAAAATAGATTGTCGAGAGTCTCTTTTATGGAGCTTATGACAATAATAATCTCGGCATGATACTTTTCCGGGTTTTGGTACCTTGACGCCTATAAATTTGTGCGTTAAGCTATGTTCATATATAATAATATTACTAAGATTTGTGAATTTAAATTTACCTTCACTTTCTCGAATAAATATGTCTTCTGCAGATGTGAAGGTCGGTGGGGCTATTGAAGTCGGTATTATAGTTCTTTGTTGATTGTAAGCTCTGATTTCCCTTTTATCCCTTCTTTTAATATTTTGATGCCATCCAACCTCTCTATTAGGAAAGAGTAAGTGATACTGCAGCGGATCGTAACAACCAAAATAATTTTTCACTTGATGTCTTCCTCCTGAGTGTGCATGAACATCTCTCTTTCAAATGGTGCATTATCATTATTTTCTTCAACCCAGATTGCAGCCACCTGATCTGCTGTTGGTGAGTTGTAAACATGTTGATCTAGTGCAACGTTATTATTTATTAGTATTTCAAATTCTTCAAAAGATTGATAATCATTCAATTTGCGAAGGAACTTTGAATATGGGTTTCCTTGCAACATATCCATCAAGCTCTTAGTCGTGAGTTCACTAATATTTTCATTGTCTAGTATTCCCAAACGATTTTTCAACTCATTCTCTGTATCATAGAAGTAAAGCTGAAAGTATGAAGGCTTATTTTCTTTGGAATTAGAGCAAGAAGATTATGATATATTTGGCCCTGTGCTCTAAATGTAAAAACTCCTTTTCTATTTGATGCGAGCTCTTTATCGAATCTTACCCCAAACGATGTGAATGAGAAAAAACTGTTGTACATTCTGGTGTGGCGTCGAAACTCAATTTCCTCTGGTGATTGCATTGTATAAAGGTCATATAATTCATTAGGAATATTGACATCTGCTAGGTAGATTTCACCGTTGTGACAACAAAATGTTAGAGTCTCATGTTCAAACTTTTTGGATCCATAATACGCACAAGACTTTGGAGTGCGTAATTTATATACTGAAGAATATACCGGTTCATGAAGAATTTGCCCTAGCACAAATATAAATATTTAATAAAATAATATATAATGTTATATCACCCTTTTTAATAAACTATAAAGTATATCTACATCAACCTTCATGCTCAAAGGCCAATAGCAGGGCTCCACAAAATAGATCAACTTTATGTTGTCGTTTGCCATTAACAATATTACCAGCTGAGTCATTACTTTGTCGCTTTCTCTTATTATCCACACTTCTTTGAATGTAATCTTTCTTCTGCTCATCACTCAACCGAGAATATTTGGTTTTTTAATTCTGGAGATTTGAGTGTTCTCTTCTGTTTAAAAAATATTCATATGGTCTTATAAATACATACACATACATTATATATATATATATATATATATATATATAATTTATTATTGAGTTTAATGCAAACCTTGGCTTGAAGCCATTTTAGACGAGAAAGTGTTGTATAGTAGTTATGCTATCCAAAAATCAGAGAATAAATTTCTACAAAAGAAAATAATATGTCATATGACCATTAATTTATGAAAACATATGAGGAATGCAGATAGTTAAACAAATTAGCGTAAATTTTCATAAAAATTCAATAGTAAACGATCAACTATAATCATTATTACAATTAAAATATAAAAATTATTGATATTCTTTACTAACCTGATACTCGTAATTATGGAATAAAGCTTTAATATGAAATTGGAATTGAGATGGTATTATCCTGTAGGTAAAAAAATATGTGTCAGAAACTAAGAAAACAATATGAAAATTATTAGGATTTGATCATAATTAGAATATTTAATCAATAATAGTTCTGATAATAGTTCCGTATATATATATATATATATAATTTATTATTGAGTTTAATGCAAACCTTGGCTTGAAGCCATTTTAGGTGAGAAAGTGTTGTATTGTAGTTATGTTATCCAAAAATCAGAGAATAAATTTCTACAAAAGAAAATAATATGTCATATGACCATTAATTTATGAAAACATATGAGGAATGCAGATAGTTAAACAAATTAGCGTAAATTTTCATAAAAATTCAATAGTAAACGATCAACTCTAATCATTATTACAATTAAAATATAAAAATTATTTATATTCTTTACTAACCTTATACTCATAATTATGGAATAAATCTTGAATATGAAATTGGAATTGAGATGGTATTATCCTGTAGGTAAAAATATGTGTCAGAAACTAAGAAAATAATATTAAAATTAAATCCTATCCTAATCCTATATGAACTATCTATAGCTTAACAATTTAAAAAATAATTTTAATAAAATATATAAAATATCTTTATGGTATCGGTTTGTTAAGATAAAGAAATAATTTTTAACTATACACGCTGATCTCGCTGGCGTGGGATATTTGATGCTCATTGGAAAGGGATAAATGAAAATTTTAGAGTTCAAATTCCTCTTCCTGGTTAGTTAGTATTCGATGCGCTCTCTTCAAAAGGCACAATACATTTCAGTCTACCCAGGCAACAATGAT